GCACCAAAATCCACACATCTATAGGCCCTATTAATATCTATTAATTAGGCTCAAGACTTTGTTCACCGTCCATCTCTCCAAGCTCGCCCGAGTCCGAAACTTGCATGTAGAAACTGCAACAAGCATGCCACAAATCCTGAACAGGTTGGGGGTCAACCCAAAGCAGACGTGTCAATTTTGCAGTTATAACTTATAACTTATAACATCTTATAACCGTGCGCATTTATCTTTTCGGGCGCCCATGCTCAGCATGCTCTGTATGCTTGTATGCCTTGGCTTGTTCCCAAAGTAGACATTCGTCTGGTTTGGCAAGTGGTTCGGCCAGAACAACTTGATACAACTTGATACAACTTGTAACGCATGACAAGTGGCTCCCCAAGTCAGGACTTTGACATGGCGTTGAGACAGGTGGAGCCAAGGGGCTTGGACGAACAGATTGCCTTGGCGAACCGAGTGCAATCATCCAAGGTGAACTCACTGATGAAATCCATTGATAAACTCCAGAAGGAGAATCGCTCACTTCAGAAGAAGAGCTTGGAGTCAAACAGGACTTGTCAATACAAAAAGATTCAGGATGAACTTGGTCAGCAAGATGTGATGATAGATGTTCTTCAGTGCTGTATTGGTACCGAAAAGGCTCAAAAACTGATGACCAATGCCATTCAAGCTCTTGACCTGAAGCGAACTGGGTGCAGCTCGTGTAGCTGCGAGGAAGAACTCTTTAGCGGAGAGGGATCTTGGCTCTGCAGACGCTGCTACAGTCAGCGCTTCTGGAGAGAACCCCCAGCAGACGCTGAAAAGTGTTCAGTGTCGAAAACACCAAAATTTCCAGATTCGAAAGACAAATTGCAAAAGGAGTGTGCTGCTTTGGAAGCAGAGTTGACTTCTACGAGACGATATCTGAAGCAACAATCTCCTTTGAGTGCTCTGCCCAAGTCAGCGTCTTTGAATACCGTTGCAGCTCTATCAAACCTTCTTGCGGGTTATGTTCAACGGGCAGACCAACTAGAAAAGGAGAACTCTTCCCTGAAAAACCATCAAGAGCAGCTGGAAGGAACGGTAAAGGAGCAGGAGGAGCACCACAGGCAGCAGATTCAGCATCAGCTTGCTGTGGTCCCCATTGAGCAGGGTACATCTACAGTAGAGGATTTGCAGTCTCGCATCCGATTGCGAAATGGTGAGACGGATCGCATGGCGCAATTCCTGGAAGAACTGCGCTCACAGATAGCTTCACAGAAAGGCAAGCAAGAAGTCCTGAAAGCTGAAATTGACAGTGCTCAAAACGAGGTTAGGAAGCTGCAGCAAGAGATGAGTACCTGGGCATCAGCAGAAACTGCAGAGCATGCTAAGCAGCTTGCCAAGCTCCAAGAGTCCAAGGAACAGAGGAAGCAACATTTGCTGAATAGTCGCGAGCAACTCCAGGATGTCAAAACAAAACTGCGGAAGTCTTTACAAAGCATAGGTGATCAAAGAGGACCGTTAGAAGTTCAAGCCAGAATCAAAGGACAAGCCAAAAGATTAAATTTGGCACTGCGTGATGCTCTGTCAAGACCACACGGTTGGTCCAAGTTCTCCTCACAGCTGGAGATCGAAAAGGGCGGAGGACTTGCAGAGCCCGTTCAACAGGTTTTGGACAGATACGAGGTCGAGATTCAAAGCAAGGAGCGACCAACACCCAAGCGGCTTGAAGAATTGAAACAAGATTTGTATAGCCTGGAGGTCAACGGTGCAAGCAAAGGCATCCATGAGGTTTCCGGTCGCTGGAGTGTGGCAAAGAAGATGCAAGAGGATTTTCGCTCGAAGCTCAATCCACAACTTGAAGCTCTGTCCAAACTCGAGACACTTCTCGACTCAAAACAACAAGCTTTGGAGCATCTTGTAGCCGAGGCGCATTTGTTGTATCTGTAGAAAACTCATGGAAACGCAGGACTTGGAAAGCAATGGGAAGGTTGGGAAGCTCCGGGAATCTCAACCTGTGTTTCATTTTGCAGGTTCGCAAGAACAATGGGCAGGCTGACGGACTTGTGGACGACTTGTGTTCTGGTGTTCTGCTGTTTTTGCGTGTGGCATTTGAGCACTGGAACTAATGAGCATGTCAGGTCAGCGTCCAACGCAGTGCCGACATCCGAGCAGCCTTGGACACTTGTGCTTTGAGTTTGGCGCTTACAATGCCAATTGTTTGCATAGAATTGCACAGACAGATTTCGGAGTTTCTTTGCCCATCTTTGCTCCTTGAATTTTGGGAGGCTTATTGACTACTACAGAGCTTCATGAGCAGCAACGAAAGCATTCTGATGACTTGAAGCAGGTGCAGATTTATATCGTTTGAGCAGTTTGCACTTTGCAGTCTTGTGATGTCTTGAGATGTCTTGTGCTGTCTTGTGATGTCTTGTGTATCTTGCGTCGTGCTGTTGCCGTAAAATTTGAAAAGCTGCGCTGTTGCGCACCAGATGAAGTCTGTGACTGGTCCACTGGAAGAAAGCGTTGAAGCCCTGCGAAGCAAAGTGAAGGACCGTAAAAAGATAGACCTTGCAAACGGTGAACATTGAGCTTGTTTGCGTCTGGTTCGCAGATTAAGTGTGAGACTGCTTGTATCTGCGAGGATCTGGCCAAAAACGCTGCTGATTCTGATCAGTACAGACAGGCATTGGTATCTGTGAGAAAAGTTGATGACTTCTTTTACCTTTTCAATGGTTCTTGACCTTGACCACAACACTAGTTATCTGGGACCGTGACTCTGATACAATATGATATATACACTACTTTTTGAGCACTGACAGACATCCAATAGACATCCACTGAGCGACTTCGTGCGACTGCAAGGTTTCTCAGATGTCTTTGGAAGTGCAGAAGTTAAGAAAGTCCGTGGAGCTGGAGCTGAGTCGACGGCGAACGAGTTGAACATGTGTTTTATATCGAAAAAGGACGCAGGGAAAAATCATGGAACATATACTATAATATAAATGTATACAATATACATGTACAAGTTTTTCATCTCAAAATCTAGACAGGCGACCAGACATGTTGGACTGAAAGTGCCTAAATCAGTCCAGTCCGAAGATTGCATGCACCCGGAAGTAACAGACGAAAGGAAAAGCAAATAAATTTACAATGACAGCTTGCTATTACATGTATATGAATAAGCTGGGAGAATCCAGGGAAGTACTGCAGCGACTATATGTCTTTGGCACCAGTAGGGACTCTGAAAAAGTCTGACAAGACTGAGATGACGGACTTCCAATCTCGGAATAGTCGATTCCGGAAGAAAAAAGCGGCATAGATTCATGCACTGATGTCCCTGAAAGCCTTTCAAATCCCGCAGGAGCGCCGCACAGCGAGAAATGACGTCGTTTGAATCCCAGAAAAACAATAGTCGCTATAGCCACCATAGCCACCATAGCCACCATAGCCACCATCAATCTTCACTTCTCACGTTCCAGAAGTCGTTTCTGAGCACATGCACGATGCAGGTCAAACTCCATGCAGCTGCTGAGCGCTGCCAAGAAATGATGGCAAACAGAGAAGGACAATCCAAAAATTGAGCAGTCTTCAGAGATCTCAAGCAACAGTTTTCGTAAAATGTCGCTCAAAGCGCGACTTTTGGATACTTTTTAATACTTTTTACATCTTTTCGCATCTTTTCACGTTTTCTTAGGCATCATGACTAGGCTGTGCAGCCCGCTTTGCTGCGAGGAGAGGATGTGGCACCAGGGCCCTCCGACCTTCCAGTTCCGGCAAGGCCCCGATCGGTTGCCTGTCGAGACCAGTTCGCTGTCGATCCCTTGCTGTCTAAAAAACAGTTTGTGTCACAGAGCTCAAACAGAAATGGCTGAGTTGCGTGGAATGTGTTGCCACTCTTGACAGGTTGCTGATTGTTCCACCTGGCAGTTCTGCTGAAGAGGCAACCAAAGACCAGGGAAGACCCTTCAAGAGTTTCCTGAAACTCCATTCTGTAGTCTTCAGTGGAATCTAAATGATCCTTCTCCTTCTGGCTTTTCGTGAATATCATGTACATTTCAATACTATTTTCATACCCAGAGAGAAGTTTCAAGATAAGTTCTTCAGGCAAGGGGAACTGCAGCGATCGAGGCCCAGCAAAATTCGATCTCGCATACTGGCATATTTCATTTTGTTTAAGTTTAAACATAGCGTGTTCAGTTGCTTGAAATGGGGGCTTTGTTGGCTTTGCGTGGCTGCCGCAGAAGTACAACCTTGCCAGGCGAGGTTACAACGCGTTTAGGGCTTAGCATTTTTTCTTGAGTTTGGCAAAATGGATTCTGTAAGCAATCAATCCTTTTTGCATTTTTTCTGCTTCAATTCCCGCTTCCCCTACCCAAAGGTCTTCGACTTTCAATTTTTTTCAAGCTGCATGACAGTTGACATGCTTAGCCTGGATCAGGTGTGGGAGAAGCGCTTTCTCCCAGTGGAAGAGCGCGATCTTCCAGCCATTCACTTGCCGCACCTAGGCGACACAGGTGACGCGGACGGATTCAGATCGGATTCAGATCGGATTCAGATCGGATTCAGGGTGTTTCTTACCGTTTCTTACCGAACTTGGAGCGTGGTCAGAGACTGGTCTGAGCTGTCACTTGACAGCTTTTCCACGTTCCCATCCTTGACCAAGTTTCATTCGTTTCATTCGTTTCATTCGTTTCATTCGTTTCATTCGTTTCATTCGTTTCATTTTGCTTTAGTATGAAAGGACTGAAAGGACTCTATATAGATCCAGTGGCCTAGAAGTAGAGAATCTATGGAAGGATTCACAACACCTCACTCCAGACTCCGCAGTTTTGCAAATTGCAATCAGAACGTGCTCCTCTGTTCTCTTTTTGTTTAGATTGTTTGTATTCTGGACCTGCAGTGATTGTCTGCAGGTGAGCTTCCAGATGATTGGCAAGAAAGCATGAAGCTGCAGGCTGCAATGAATGCATGGATCACTGGCAGATAAAACAGACAGCTTCTGCACAGGCTCAACTCGACTTGCTGCGAGAAGAGCTTTCCAGAATGCAAGATACAAAAAGTGACCTCACTGGGAAAATCGAGGCAGACTTTGGAGTGCCAAATTCCTGTGGCCAAAAAACGGGAGCCTGAACGTAGGCACCAGACGAAGTCCGAGATATGGAAGACTATGTGGACAATCTGGATGCTGTTCACACCGACTTGCAGGAGGCGACTTGCGGTAGCATTTTATCTAAGTTGTGTCTCCTTTAGAGTGATTCTTCTCTCAACAGGTTGTAGCTGACCTCAACATGCGACTTCAAGCTGTTGCAAGCTCAGATGAAGCTCCATGTTTCTGATTGGTGTTTCCCCACATTTGCTTTCACCGTGTTCACTGCGTTCACCTTTCACCCACATGTATATATACAGTACAGTTCTGGTGGAAAGGCTAGAGTGCTTCTCCAGCGGCAGATGCAGCGCAGAGAGTCGAGAGCAGCTTGGTGGCAATTTGAGCGAAGTGTAAGCAGAGCGGAGACTGCGGAGACCGCAAGCTGCAAACTGAACTCACTGTGAGACCAAATTCACAGTGGACTTTGTGGACTTTGTGGACTCTGTGGACTGAGGGAGCGCCTACCTGCCAGCATTGCCACACTCTCAGGGCTT